AAGCTGTCATGTTCACCGAGACATTTACCAGTAAAGAGCGTATATATATATATTATATAATATATATATATTATATATATATATATATGAGTGTGTGTGTGGTGTTTGTGTGTGTGTACATATATGTGCTATGTTATGGTATAATATGACACACAATATATATATATATATATATATATATATATATATATATATATATAATATATATATATTGTCATATTATACATAACATAGCACATATGTACACACACAAACACACACACACACACACACACACTCATATATATATATATATATATCTTATATATATATATATATATATATATATTATACATGTATATATATATAAGTTTAAAATATCAGACAACATGGGCCATGAAGCTTTTATCAAAACCACATATCCCTTCATATAAGGTGGACGAAAAAACCTTTGAGGAACATAATCAGGACGAATATCACACCGACTGACGAAGACACCGAAACTAAGCTTACAATATGTCACAAGAGCAGGACAACTGGCATTATTCAATGAAAAGAAGTAGCCTGGCAGCAGACCAAAGCCAACTAAGGCGCTCCAACATGGTGTATGAACTCAGATGTCCGCACGGAGAGATTACCGAGCCGCGACTCGGCCTTTAGTGTTAGACTTCATCTCTATCACGGGCGCATGACAATGTACCTGCAGGAGAGAGCGCCAGACCAGCATATACGCAAAATCTGCAATCGAAAACTCCTACACTCTGACTTACTCTACACCCTGATTTTATTTATAAATATTTTGATCCTAACATCATGCCAACAAACGTCGTTTACAAGGTCTCAAAGCCATCTTTATCAGGGAAAGAATGTCCGACTTAAACAAACAGCTTAGGCCATGCATCACTTTGGACTTATTCAGTGCCCAACAACAGCAGAGTGACTCAATGTCTGGAACTTCCCAGAGTGTTGAGCTGACTGGAAAGTGTTGTCGTGTGTTTGTGACGTTTTGCACTTTGGCATGCTATTCGGATGCGCACTCTGTTAACTGATGGTACACCTTTGGTCATGCATCATGGGGCATGCCTATTTCGCTACATTCGAAGGTCTTCCATCCGACGAACTGCATTCGTTAGGGAGTGGGGAACAAAACTCCTTGAAACGTTAGTTAATCGCCAGCTTAAACTAATAGACAATGGCTATAGAAGAACTGGCTTACGAGAAAGCAAAACCAACCAAGAATTGATTCAAACAATGGGGTAAACGTGCAAGGAAGTGATTGAATGCAGTTGTCCTCGCATGGACAAAACTTGCGATTATTAAAGCATACTGCCCAGACGAGAGTATATATATATATATATATATATATTATATATCTATATAATATATATATACACACACATGTGTGTGTGTGTGTGTGTGTGTGTGGTGTGTGTGTGTGTGGTGTGTGTGTGGGTGGGTGTGTGTGTGTGTGTGTGTGTGTGTGTGTGTGTGTGTGTGTGTGTGTGTGGTGTGTGTGTGTGTGTGTGTGTGTGTGTGGTGTGTGTGTGTGTGTGTGTGTGCACACAAGTGCTGCCTGTATTGCGATATTATGACGGTTGCGTGACTGCCATGCATGACGGTGCTGATGAATGCAAGGCACACGATCCTTGAAGTGATGCGCGGTCGGCTCAGCATGATGATGATGACGCGTGAGGATATGGCCATTACTGCGCTCTTTCCGGCTGCTGCAATTTCAAACAGTGGGACAGTGACTGAGAGAGGCTCTGAGGCAAGCTTGAGCGAGACTGTCGCTAGAAGGTTGCAAGCGGAAAGGAGCGGGCTGTCCGAAGGAAGACAAGCCCATGTAAAATTGGTAAATCTATGGATACAGGCACGCAAAATGCTTTCAGAAAATGTTTGGCAGGCTTCTTAACAACTTCGAACCAAACCCGTGAAAAATACATGGCCCACGGGTGTGTAGAGCTGACTAGGGGGCAGCGGCGGGGGGGGGAGGTAAACTCCCAGGAGAAGGTATTTTGTGCGGTACTAAGGACCCGTGAAGTCTTCAAGAACGACCACACAACAGCCTCGTCTCTCATACGTGAGAATTGGTGAGCTCTTATCTGACGGCACTGGCAATCACAGTCAGGAATATCAGCGTGGTAGGGATAATGCAGCATGGAGCTTCAGAACACTTAGTCTCAGGAACAGCTGCATCAGCACCACTGATCGCCGATGTGGAAGAGGTTTGAAGGCACATTTCAATTTTCGGCAGATTCACACGGAATCGAAACTGGTGTTGCCATTTTCGAAACCGGGCGAACAAAGTCCATTTTCCCCGCGCTGCGACCCCCCGTGACAGGGACAAATGACCATGACCTCCCGCTGGAAGGGGACGCCGAACCTCCCGCCAGAGGCGCGCAGCAAGAGGCTCGGTCAGACCAATAACAGGCTTTACGGCAACGTTTTCACCGCTATTTTGCGACCGACCGCACAATAGCCTCATTTCGAGCGGCGGTTCCGGGTTTTTAATGACTGTTTACACCAAAAAGTCAGACGCGGGTCGGGCAGAATAGGCCTTTTCGCCAAACGGCAGGAGTACTGGAAACCGTGGGCGCAGGGAAGGGGAAATATGAAACGTGGTCAGTGGTACACATCATTCAGCCCGCCCCCAGCCCTTGGCAAACCTCCCTCGACGCTCTGGCACACCCCCGGGTCACTCACTACGGGCAGGGCACCACCTGCCTGACATGCCCAATAGTCATGACCCACGACCACGTCTCATGCCACCTTAACTATGCATAAACCTGGCCTCAGCCGGCATAATTAGCGGGCAGTTTTTTTATATTTGTCGCCACCGGGCTGCCCCTCGGGAGGGACCATCAGTCAGCGCCCCGCGACAAACGAGCCTCGCCGCGCCGGAAGTCGCCGTCTGACCCGAGGAGTGCTCGGGAACCGGTGCGTGGTTCACACGGTCATGCAGGATTCACAGCGCGCCCCCACCGCCGCCCCTGCCTGCGTCTGTTGGCTCGTGCTCAGGTGTTCCGAGTCGCTCAACCGCAGGCGGCGGGCCTTGGCGAGGTGTGTCACATGACCTGGCGATGCGATGCGGGCTCGGGAGGTTCGGCCTAGCTGTGCTGACATAGCAGATTAGAGTGTGAGGTTAACTTTTGCTTTAATTAAGATTTTTGCATGGATTAGAATACAATGTGTGCATACAATACATTCTTGGCGATGAAAGCCTGGGCTGCCGTGGCTCAAAGCTAGATGTGCTGTTGGATTGCAGTTGATGATTGAGTTGGATGAAGTCTCGCATACAAAGTTTTCCAGGTGAAAAATATGTCCACCATACACATACACACGGACATATACAGGGTCGATGTGCACGCTGAAGGCGGCGTTACTTATGAGATATGGACAGAAGTAAAGGATGTTCACCGTAACCTTCGCATCCAAACTGATTCCATTCATCAAATGGCATTACGTTTACTATGCATGACACTTGTCTGATCGGCTGCACGAATAGAAACCTCGCTAATTCATCTCTCATATAATAGCCGGGAGACGTTGCATTCCGTTTTCGTCGCATCGTTGGGCACTGGATGCGCAACGCAGCGGTGATTAGGCGTGCGGCAGCTTAAGATGTCTGTGACATCCGAGTAATAGATATAACAATAATGTGATATCCGAGTGATGGTGCCAAAATGTGCAAATTTGTACTATAATGGTAAGTGTCTTAATTTCGCAATTCTGCTTTTTCAATTGGAGAACGATGAAATAAAATGACAACGCTTACAGTCTACAATTCCTCGTTCAATTTGCACGCTTCGAAACAAAATCACCGCAATTTGAGTGACTTTATCGTTTCGGTATCGAGGAAGCTTCATTCTCGTATGAGCCTCTTCTCCGGCAGTGCGACAGTGTCCGCCACTCCCACACCACAGAAAGCCTTGTGACATAGTTGAGGAATATTGGGGAAGAGAAACCCTCATGAGGCAGATTCAGATGGCAATAGCTATCAAACCAATGCGGTACTTCATTCTACTGATGTTCACGTGATCAGAAAAAAACGGATGTGCTCTAAATGGTACGAGGCCAAAATGCCCAGTGACATTTATCCGAATGCTGTTTCACCGAATGTGAAAAGCCGCACGCTCTATGCCGCCATGTTCAGAAGACATGGCGCGCAAAGTCAAAAGCAATTGACGGCATGGGCGTAGGAACAGGGGGGGGGGGGGTCCGGGGGCAATGCCCCCCCCCCCCCCACACGCACTTTTCAGGGTGGGGGACCAGCAGTGTTGACTGGCGTTTAATTTACTTTTGCACCGCATTAAATATACATGCCGATTTACATCGTTCACCATCCACCTTCTTCAAGGTGCACCATTTTCTCCGTCTGCTTAATGGCCATTGCTTAGTGTTACAGCTGCCGGCCAACGCCGCGCGTCCCATGGAGACTGCAACGCCGGGCGTCGGGACTGTTGTTGCTATGACTTGCGAGCGTGCTTGTTCAAAACTATATCACTTACTTTTTTATCAGTAGCCAATTCTGACCGAGGCCTGAACATTTTAAGACAAACATGGATCAGGCATGTTAATGCAAACTTGGGACTCCATTTCATCAACAATCTACGTTCATGGAGTCTTCAATACGTCTGAAGACCACAGAAAAACACGGAGCTGGAGTCCATGTGACAATTATTGGACCACCTTTGGCTATCAGGGATGTTGTTGCGTCAGTGAGGGTTCCGTTGCTGATCCGGGACCACCTGCGCGGGTCAGAAGGCCTCTGGTCTCAAGGAGGGGAACAATGTGATATGATATATTCTTCTAGTGGCCTCCGGATCGACCGCGAGATCTCTCACCGCGTTACCAGAATGCCACCCAGAAGACACTTTGCGATCGGACGGAGTGGACCTTTA